TGATTTCGTCGGCTCCAACCGATTCCAGCCTCAGTTCTGCCATGCCGCTTATCAAAGACCTTTTGTATGTGGCGGCCAAGTTTCGTTGCAGTACAACGAGAAAATCTAGTGCATGCGTTCTTTGAGCCCCAGTGACACAAAAGTCAAACACGAATCCGGGTCTTGAGGTTTACACGCTGTCACACTATCGTCATATCTAATGCATCGTAAAGCTCCTCACATTCTGCGCTGTCTTTTGGAATGGTTGGGAGCATTTTTGAAGGCTAATATGACGGCACGTTTTGTTACTTTGTGGGTACGAAACATCCGATCAGTTCCAATCACTGCTCAACAGTCCAAGCCTCATCCAGTTGTCAACGCAATTAGCATATTCTTTTCATATAATTGTTGGCGTATAGGTATGTAGAGATCCCATTAAAAGGCTTCCCAGCATGATTACTTACTCAACATTCTGTGTGGCGCATACCAGGTTTTCGTAATATTAAGTTGATGTCATTGCCGTGGAGAACCGTACCAATCTGGGGTGTGAAGAATACATCGGGTTGTCTTTAAGAAAAAGCAAAAACGCATTAGCCTTTTCATAAAAGCCGAATAATACCGTTCCAGCTTTCGCTCTATACTCTGTGTAGAGTTATTGCCCGAAAACTACGTTCTGTGGACGTCCCTACGATCACGGAAGAGAATAGTTTGTGACACTACCAAGGGCTATGTTGGTTCAGAGTACCACACGTCAGTACCCTTACACTGGTTTTGCCGTCAATGATGAAGGCCTCTTGAAATAGGTCTTCGGTTGCGCAACAGGTGCCTCCATCGAAGAATACATCTGACAGGTTAACTGATAGTGCATTGGTCATATGTCGCCCGTAACAATGAGAACGACACAATCAAGGCGGACAGACTTTGACTTAACAGTATGGTATTGGATGATGGAAGTGGTCGGAGCAAAAAGCTAGAGGCTGTACGTCGAAATATTGGAGACGTGAGAGACCTAAGGCTGGTCCGCTACGACTCTTCCAAGATGCGTACACCTTCCAGATAATCTGGATAAAGATTGACAAGACGGTCAGTCAGCAATCATATTTTGAATGTCTGTAGCTGGAGGCAGCGCGAATCATGCGAACCTCTGCTTTTACCTCTGCTTCTGAAAGATGTGGCTATTTCGTTCCTATACAAATTGAAACCTAACGGTGACACGGTTGAATGTGAACCCAGAAGCTGGTTGTGACAAAGTTGTTTAACTTCAAGATCTATAAGAATTTCAGTCACTAATGGGTCGTCCTCCGCTTCTATTATCGTGAAAAGCAAAAAGAAGACCGACTCTGAACGAGTTCTTGATCAGAATCCAAATGTGTTCCAGAAAGAGTAGCAGTCAGTGATTAACCCACATTATCATGAGCCAATGGTGATGTGTTCACTTTGGGGCCTTGGAGGGCACCCTGTGGTCGGATGATTTTGGTTACTCCCGGTGTCAGTGCTCCCCGCAAACCAAACGGTTTTTGCACTTTCGTAAAGTAGTTCTCCGTTGCCCCTTTGTAACGAATGTACCCCAAGTTGACCATCTGGTTGAGTCTGCTACACTAATTCTTTTCACTTGTGCGTTCAAGTTTTCGGCAGGGGAGAGATGGCCCAAGTGGTTAGAGCGCGAATTTATTGACCGGAAGGTTCGTGGTTCGAATCCGACCTCCGCCACTCGACTTCCCTGTCTAGGCTTGGGCAACCTGGCAGTATCCCA